GAGTTGTAGTCCAACAGTCTCTAGAAGGAACCAGGCTCCTTATCTCTGGTCCACAGCATTACCAAATCCAAAGAGACCAGCAAATCGACCATAACTCCGTTCCATTCCGTTTATTTTAAAATATTTATATACAGTGGTACCTGAGGTTAAGTACTTAATTCGTTCTGGAGGTCCGTCCTTAACCTGAAACTGTTCTTAACCTGAAGCACCACTTTAGCTAATGGGGCCTCCTCCTGCTGCTGCTGCTGCTGCTGCTGCTGCGCTGCCGGAGCAAGATTTCTGTTCTCATCCTGAAGCAAAGTTCCTAACCTGAAGCACTATTTCTGGGTTAGCGGAGTGTGTAACCTGAAGTGTATGTAACCTGAAGCGTATGTAACCCGAGGTACCACTGTACTCCCTGTCATGTAAAAAAAGCATCCAGGCAGCATAGAAAAATAAAAACCAAGCAGCAGTGTAAATATGCAATATGCTAAAAACAGACAAATGTAACAAAAGTTTAAAAATCACAACGGCTGGCCTCACAAGCGGAGTCAAACACATCACTCCTTGGGGAAAATCACTTCTCTTTTTTTAACAATAATTTTTATTAGTTTTCAGTTACAATAATCCAGTGGTGGCCTCATTATAACATTGCCAAGTTATAATACCAGTACTAATCTCAATCATTCAGGTGCCAAATTATATGATTTGGGTGGCCTCCCGCGTGTTGATGGGTTTGATGATTTCCTTTGTTTCTGCGTTCCAAAATCTTATCCATCTCAATTACACTCTAGTCGAAATAACAATCCCTTATTCAACAACTGCAATATTAACGACATCCACTCGTCTTGACACATTAAATGATTTATAAACCCATAGGTGAAGCATTCAAACTATATCCTTCTTCCTCCTGTGTGTGTCAGTTATTCTGTCCGTGGTATTCCTTCCTGCCCTTGTAAAATCTTATGTCTGTCTATTCCCTAGACTGGTGACTGGGAGCGGCTGCCGAGACCATATAACACCGGTCTTGAAAGACCTACACTGGCTCCCAGGACGTTTCCAAGCACAATTCAAAGTATTGGTGTTGACCTTTAAAGCCCTAAACGGCCTTGGTCCAGTATACCTGAAGGAGCATCTCCACCCCCATTGTTCTGCCTGGACACTGAGGTCCAGCTCTGAGGGCCTTCTGGCAGTTCCCTCTCCGTGAGAAGCCAAGTTACAGGGAACCAGGCAGAGGACCTTTTCGGTGGTGGCGCCTGCCCTGTGAAACACCCTCCCACCAGATGTCAAAGAGAAAAACAACTACCAGACTTTTAGAAGACATCTGAGGGCAGCCCTGTTTAGGGAAGCTTTTAATGTTTAATAGGTTACTGTATTTTGGTGTTCTGTTGGAAGCTGCCCAGAGTAGCTGGGGAAACCCAGCCAGATGGGCAGGGTACAGTGGTACCTCAGGTTAAGTACTTAATTCGTTCCGGAGGTCCGTCCTTAACCTGAAACTGTTCTTAACCTGAAGCACCACTTTAGCTAATGGGACCTCCTGCTGCTGCTGTGCCGCCAGAGCACGATTTCTGTTCTCATCCTGAAGCAAAGTTCTTAACCTGAAGCACTATTTCTGGGTTAGCGGAGTCTGTAACCTGAAGCATATGTAACCTGAGGTACCACTGTATAAATAAATAACAACAACTATTATTATTATTATTATTCCCACTTCTCACATCCACACCATATATTTATAAAGCACCCTTACAGCAGTCATGGCTTCCCCCAAAGAATTCTGGGAATTGTAGCTTGTTAAGGGTGCTGGGAGCTGTAGTTCTGTGAGTGGCCTCCTAATGACTCTCATTGCACTTAGCAAACTATAGTTCCCAGGATTCTTTGGGGGAAGCCTTGACTGTTTAAATGTGTGGCATTGGTGTTACCCCTCTGATAGGACCCTGCCTCTCGTCCGGAGGGAGGGGCTGTCTCTCTAAGGTTTGGAAAACAGGGAACAGCAATCCCTGGGAAGAAGCTCCCCTTTCGTTTACTCGCAGCTCCCAGTCTCCCCCCGCCTGCTCTCAAGGGCCCCCTCACCTTGTAGCGGGCATCATAGACCTTCTGGGCCGCCAGCATGACCGGCACCTCAACGAGGGTGAGCAACGTCAGGCGCCACGACAGGCCAAGCATGAAGGCGCAGAGCCCACAGACCTTGAACAGGCTGCGGAGGAAGACGTTGGCGTTGAGAGGCACCCAGCGGCTCATCATAGTGGTGTCTCTGGAGAGGCGGGAGGTCAGGTCTCCTGTGGGGCGAAAGGAGAGGCTGCTCAGAGCCGGAGACGGGAGGGAACAAAAGCGCATTCTAAAAATTCTACAAATATCTCAATATGGAAATAATTAAAAAATTTCACTGATTGACTTCCATCGCTTACACTGCACTTCCTAAATACATTTTAAGCAAGACTGCAGAATAAACCGCTGGAGCAGTACCTGTTTATCTACTTGCACTTTGACGTGCTTTCGAACTGCTAGGTTGGCAGGAGCAGGGACTGAGCAGCGGGAGCTCACCCCGTTGTGGGGATTTGAACCACTGACCTTCTGATCGGCAAGTTCTAGGCTCTGTGGTTTAACGCACAGCGCCACGCGCATCCCCTTTTGCTTATATTTTGCTTATACAGTGGTACCTCGGGTTAAGTACTGAATTCGTTCCGGAGGTTCGTACTTAACCTGAAACTGTTCTTAACCTGAAGCACCACTTTAACTAATGGGGCCTCCAGCTGCCGCCGCGCCACCGGAGCACGATTTCTGTTCTCATCCTGAAGCAAAGTTCTTAACCTGAAGCACTATTTCTGGGTTAGTGGAGTCTGTAACCTGAAGCGTATTTAACCCGAGGTACCACTGTATTTTGTAACAATTGTTTTTTTAAAAAATTAATTTTAAATGTGCATTCTAATTTTTATTTTTTTTTTAGTTCCGCCTGAGGCAAGAAGGATAACAGCAACAACTGGGGGGGGAAAGACAGAACACCTTGCAAGGACAGGAAGAAACACCTATTTCTCTCTGTTGTTGATTGTTGTGACTATTGCTTTCTGTGCATGAGAAGGTGAAAAGAAAAACACTTTTCTAAGAAAAGGATGGAAAGGAGAAATAGTTGGTGGATAAGCAGATGGAGGGATGGAGAGACAGACCGACGAATGCATAAAGTCCTTTGATGAACAAATGAAGGAATGAAGACGCTGTTGATGTATTCTAACTCCCATCACTCCTGCCCACTGGGCATGCTGGCTAGGAATGATGGGAGTTGGGGTCTCATAATATTCAGAGGGCACCAGGATATTCCTTACCTCTGAACTCGGCAGCAAAGACCAACGTGAACCGAGTTGCCCACTTGAGTGCTGGAGACCCAAGTTCAAATCCTGGAAAGCCTCACATCTTGACTTTCCTCATGGAGCCTCAGTTATGCCACCCATAAAATGGGAATATTTAAGGCCCAGTCATAACAGGGGTGTTGCAAGGATGAACCACCACAAGCGCTCTGTATGTGCACTAGAGGCATAGCTGTCAACTTTTCCCTTTTCTTGCGAGGAATCCTATTTGGAATAAGGGAATTCCCCTTTAAAAAAGGAGAAAGTTGACAGCTATGACTAGCTGACACTCAGGGAGCTGGACTGAAAGGCAGGCCTGGGTTTGGAGCTAGGGGGCTCTCACCTGTTTTCACCTCCTGGAAGAACGCCAGGTCTTGCCGGACGAGAGAAGAGAAGAGGCGGCTTCGGATCCGGATGATGGCCCGCGAGATGGACATCATGAAGAGTCCCCCGCGCGCGCCGGCAGACAGCGAGCTGGAACAGAAATGGAGACTGCTCTACAAAAGGAAACTGTGAATGTGTGAGTCCCACTCTGGAGGATAGGAATCGAAATGGCAAAATCGGAGCTCCTGGCCCCCCAAATATGTGATCACCTTTTTGAGTCACATTCTGGAAATGTGGGGGATTTCCTCTGCAGTAGAAAGCAGTTCTCCAAGCACCCCCTTCCCCCCGAACTGCTTTCTGAATTCAGTTTAATTCCAAATAAATAATTTACCGTATTTTTTGCCCTATAGGACGCACTTTTTCCCCTTCAAAAATGAAGGGGAAATGTGTGTGCGTCCTATGGGGCGAATGCAGGCTTTGCTGAAGCCTGGAGAGCGAGAGGCGTCGGTGGGCCCCGACACCGCTCGCTCTCCAGGCTC